TGGCAAACACGTCCCTGGAGTTCTTCAGGTAGAGTTTGGTGAAGATCTCGGCCGTCTCGGGGTCAGTCCGGGAGTAGTCAGCGCGTTCGGCTTCCTCGTACAGCTTCGTCTCAAACTCCGTCATCACCGGCCCCGGCTCCACCAGGCTGATCCTGCCTGGGAAAGGGGCAGTGGGCACTGGGCACCCCCAAACCCTCAGCCTGGGGGGCTGTGCAGCCTCCCACCCCTCACTCACGCCACGTTGAAGCGCAGCGCCTGCACCACCAGGCTCTCGCAGAAACCCTCCACCGCGAACTTGGAGGCCGAGTAGATGTCGTTGAAGACGATGCCTGGATGGGTGGGGGGTCCCAGTCAGGGCTGGGGGATGACTGGACCCCCCACGGTGCCCAGTGTGCCCCTACCCTGCAGGCCCATGATGCTGCTGATGACGACGATGTGGCCCCCGCGGCGTCGCTTCATGTCGGGCAGAACCTCCTTGACCAGGCGGACGAGGCCGAAGAAGTTGGTGTCCATGAGGCTCTGCATGGCTGCCAGGCTCTGGCACTCCAGGGGTCCTGCCATGCCCACCCCGGCGTTGCTGACTGAGGGCACAGGGCATCAGTGAGGTGACCCCCAGGCAGGGCAATCCCACGCCCTGGGTGGGCATGGAGAGCCCCTGGTGCTCAGAGGGTCCCCAGTATGGCATGTCCTGGGTGTGGAGGGTACATGGGATGTCCCTAACACAATGGGACCCTGGTGCAGTGTGCCCCTGGCATGGAGAGTCCCTGGTGTGTGGGGTCAGGGGGTCCCTTGTGCATGAGGAGTCCCTGGCACGGGGTGTCTCCTGTGCTTGGAGGGTCTCCAGCATGGGATGTCCTGGATTTGGAGAGTCTCTGGTACATGGGGTGTCCCCAGCACAGAGGGTCCCTGGTTCTTGGGGTCCCTGGTTCATGGGATGTCCCTGGCATAGAGGGGCCTTGGTTCATGGGATGTCCCTGGCACATGAGATGTCCATGACACATGGGATGTCCCTGACACAGAGGGTCCATGGTATATGGAATGTCCCTGGCACAGAGGTCCCTGTTTTCTGGGGTCCCTGGTACATGGGATGTCCCTGACACATGGGGTGTCCCTGGCACAGAGGGTCCCTGGTACATGGCATGTCACTGACACAAGGGATGCCCCTGGCACAGGGGTCCCTGTTTTCTGGGGTCCTTGGCACATGGGATGTCCATGACACATGGGATGCCCCTGGCACAGAGGTCCCTATTTTCTGGGGTCCCTGGCACACAGGATGCCCCTGGCACAGAGGTCCCTGTTTTCTGGGGTCCCTGGCACAGAGGTCCCTATTTTCTGGGGTCCCTGGCACACAGGATGCCCCTGGCATGGGATCCCTGCTCTATGGGGTCAAGAGATCCCTGGGGCAATGAGATGTCCCTCTCATGAAGATCCCCAGCACTGGGTGCACAAAGAGACCCCAACATGGGACGTGCTCGACACGGACCGACCCCAGTTCTTGGGGTGTCCAGTCCCGAAGGGCCAAGGACACAGAGTGTCCCAGCACAGGACACCCGGGGGATCCACGCACAAAGGTGGTGCCAGGGCTCACCCAGGACATCGACGTGTCTCCCGGGGATGCTGTCGAGGCAGGCGCGGATGGAGCTCTCGTCGCACACATCGAGCTGTTTGATCTCCAGGGTCCTGCCCAGCGCCGGCCCCGCCGCGGCCGCGAGTGCAGCGCTCCTGCCCACGTTCCTCATGGTGGCGATCACTGCGGGACAGGGGCTCAGATCAGTGCGGGACAGGGGGCTCAGATCACTGCGGGACAGGGAGCTCAGATCAGTGTGGGACAGGGGGCTCAGATCA